CTTAAAATATATGCCAAGCCATAAGCATTTACTCAAAAATGTTTTTGAGTTCATCCGCAATTTCAAATAAATTGTGACATATTTGGTATCAAACATTTCACCCCAAAAGTCATCTTTTTAAATTCTTAGTATTCGCCACATATTAATAGGTAATTTCTGTTCTTAGGAAAACTAGATTGATTCGAACAATTTTCTATAATTTTCCTATTGATAATGTAGAACATTAAAATGTAAATTCCTGTATAATCATTTGTTTTTTAATCGCCGAGATTTCCATGTTGATTGTAGACCTTACAAGAAAATTGCATACTGCAAATAAGAAAGAAATGCATTTTTAATCTTGAAATAGGCAGGGTCAAATGATTGCCAACAGATTGCGTTATTTAAATATTTAGTAGGTACTTAAAAACCTTGTTCAGTGTTATATTTCAATCATTTTCAATTGTCCGTTGTTAATAGCACGTGAAAAAATGTCAGATTCCAAAAGTAAGAAAGTATTTGCCGTCATGAGAATTATTTTGATGTGTGCAGGTTTTTGGAATCAATCTATCAGCAAGAACCGTTTAATTAACAAAATTTTCCACGGCTATTCAGTGTTTGTGAAACTTTCTTGCTTGGTATTTTGGTTGTTAATACTAGCCGAAACGTCCCGATTAATAATATGCCAATACGAAATAACTATTATTACTGCAAGTGTGGCCATCTTGCTTACTGATACCAAGATTGTCGTAAAAATCGTGATTTTTTTAAAACACAACATCCTGGATATTGTCGCAGATGTAATTGAGAATAAGGATGAAATCAGAACAGAGCATTATAAGGAAATTAAAATGTTGTATGATAGAAAAGCAAATTTTTTGAAATTTGCAATTAGTGTACTTGGAGGTAGTACTACTGGTGCGGTATTTTTGCTACAGGGTTCTGGTAAGTGTCATGTCTTAAAATTATATGCAGGCGTTATTTCTTATACGTACGTAATATATTTTTTACTTATTTGGTTGATACAATAATCTGAAACTCTGTTAAAGCCGATTCTATTTCATATCAAGGGATTTATAGTAGAGAATTTTTCTGAAAGTCTTTTCCAAGCTTTAACACGTTTTATTTTGTACTTTTCGTTTACGTAGTAAACCACTCACTGGAGTTCTAGTTGCCACTTCAATCCGTTAATTTAGCCGCGAATAATATTCCCGAATTTCGGATTGAACAAAATTGTTTGTGCAAAACTCTACTAATTGGTTTTATTTTTAGTAAATTATTCTATTTATTACACGCTTCTTGTCCGAATAGGGACATTCGAGACTTCTGCTGAAAATTAAATGCGGGTCTGAACTGTTTTTGCTAACTATTTTATGGATTCTGTTGCTTTTAACCATCGCCTATTTAACGGAAAATAACATCAGTTTTAAGAAATTATTGCATTACAAATATTTTTATAGTTGTTTTTTAATTACATTGACAAAGAATGGTATGGATAACATTATTTCAGTCGAGATTCAAATTCTCTTTCCTTATGCGTGCCATTCTCTTATACCGAGTAAATGCCCTTAGACGAAATTTCACCTCTAATGTTTTCTCACCAAAAACATAATTTTTATTACGATTTACAAGACAACGGAGCACCACCATCAGTGCTATTCCTCGGAAAGACGAAAAATCCACATATTCTTCTCAATTTTCTTTACAGAAATTTTAGCAACATTTATGTTTTTAATACCTCGAACAATGTACTAATTAGATATTTAAACTCTTCTTTAGGAATATTTTGTCCATTTTTCAAATTTTTTTAATAAACGTAAAGAATCCAAAGATTATATGGCGGTACAGCGTTCAGCGAAACAGAAAATAATAGAATCTGATAATCGTGTGTAGAATCATTCGCTTTTTATACTCTGAGATTTTTTAGGCAAAAAAATAATTTGAAGGATATACATTCGTTGAGCGTTAATGGAAGCACAAAATCAGCTATACATTATTTGCCAAGAAATAAGGTTTTTAAAAGCAAGCAAACTAGTATCCATCATTAAAGATTTTTTTAGAAAAAAAAAGTTTCTTCGCGTTTTCAAAACACCACTTTCAAGTGCACACCAAAATTAAACGTTTCAAGTCTAGGCTCAGCTCTATTTTCAAACCACTACAATCGGGATAACAAAACAACTGAAGTTAGAGTATGAAAAGAAAACGAATTGAAAAATTTAATAAATTAAACAAAGAATTAATTACATTAGTAGTAAGTTTCGACTTATTTAACATGCTTTTTCCCAATGGTTTGATTTTTTAGGCGGTGCTCTCGTATTACAAGACAGAAAACATAACAAACTGTTTAATGATACAGTAGAAACCCATGGTATGTATCAAACAATTTTCCCCCTACACCGAAACAACCATATATATTGGTTATTCGCAACTGAAGTGTTTTGGTCATATCTTGGAATAACGGCTAACATTGTAACACAACTTATTTGTGTAATAATCCTTTTGCACGCTGCGTCGCGATTAGAAGTTTTACAAGTTCGATTCAAACATTTAATAATGCCAGACTTTCAAATAAAGGCATCTGATGAAGATATGAAAGCAAAGGTGACGGAATTGAAAAGTATTATTAGAAAATATCAGCTTACTATAAGGTAGGTCGTCTGATAAATTCATATATTAATTTAATTAATTTAAAATTAAAATTTGGAAAGATCCAAAATCTTTAAGAACATTCATTTGATTGATGAATTTACATGTGAATTTATAAAAATTTAAGACTCTAGCAGTCTTGCATGGTTTTCAGATTTATAAATGAGTTCAACCAGTCAACTAAGTATATTACTATGATAGAGTTTTGTTTGAGTACATTCGATATGGCATCATGCTGTGCCAGTTTAACTAAGGTTTGTGCTAAAACATCTGACAATCCGCGTATCATTCAGCATGCAAAATTTGTTTTTAAGATGAAAGGCTATGAGTCTGTGTGGTTACTTTTCTTCATGATGGTTTTGCTAACGCAATTGTACCTTATCGGGTGGACTGCAAACGAAATCAGAGTCCAGGCAAGTTAACATGTAACTTGGATAATTTTGGCTCAAGAAAAATGTATAAGAAGTTCACATTTCTAGAGCGAAGCCATTGCCACTGCTCTGTACGAAAGCAACTGGTATGAGCTGAATAAAGAAGGCAGGCAGCTTATATTAATTTCAATGATACGGGCGCAAAGGCCCTTAAATATAAACATTGGTCCAATGGGTCCTATGACTACTAGGTCCATTCTTACAGTGAGTATTTCGGATTTTTTATTTCTGATTTAATGCCTTGTTGGGATCGTTTAATTAAACTCCTTGCCAGAATCTAACTAAAATTCGACATTAAAAGTTTTACATGAGTCATAAAAAATGTAAACTAGCCAGTATTTTATAGCTGCCTATTTTACATCAAACTTTATGCTTAGTTTTACAGTTTTATTTATTATTTTGTATTATATAATATTCACTCAATTTAAATGTATTGCAAAACGATACAGCAAGCATATAGTTATTTCGTATATTGAACCATCGCGGTTTAAAATAAATAAAAATCAATCAATGAGACTTTAAATTATTTGAAAACATATCCGATACGTTGATTTTTACATGGATATTGCTACGGAAAAAAATATATAATTGAACGATTTAAATTAAAAGTTTACATTATTATAAATCATTATAAAAATTATGTAATTATATATTTGCATTTTATTTCTAGGTACTTAAAGGGGCATACTCTTACATAAACATCATGCGTTAATTTCTGCATATTACTTGTGATGCTTTTTACTACAGACCTGCAAAAAACTGTGTACTTTAGAAGCTGTAGGTTTGTTAACTAGACGGAAAAATTGAAAATACATATTAAGTTATTTCTTAAGAGAAACACATTTTATGAATGTATAGGTTAATAATAAATAAATAATGAAGCGTTATACTTTCTATAAAAATCCTTTTAAGATATCTGCATAATTATACGTAATTAGCCTCTTAGAATACCGACACTTTGGCATATTATATTTAAATATTTTTACGCCCTCGGTACAAAAGTTTTAGTTAAAATTATATACTTTCCTTAACAATATAAGTAAGTGGAGAATTAATATCGTACTCTGGCCACTGTTTTATGTCAAACGTTTTTCTTTTTACTGCGGTAAAGGAAATATTATATAGTGTCAGTTTTTTGTAGAGCTTTGTAGAATCTAGATCTAGTAATACCAATATTTAATGAGGCAAAAAGCATTAAGCAGAAGTAGCAAACGATAGCAAGAACAGACATTTTCTCTAGACCACGTAAGTATCTATGTTTTGTTGCTGGGTACAATTTTATCTACTTCATACTAAATACGGTTTTCAACCCGAAATCCTAAATTTATAATTGAGATATACGAAGAAAAGCACTATAGGTCAATTTGATTAAGAAACAGACAATTACAGAAAGATGTAAAAAGTTTGAAAATAAACATATTTTTTGTAATTTTACATGAAATCCAAGCTGACCCATTGACAAAACAAGCTCCATTTCGAGACATTCTCCTTTTAACATTCAAACTTATGTCAAAATTACACGATTTTAAGCACTAATAGAAATCAAAGAAAATATTGTTTTAAAGTGATGTTTGGTACTCCAATTATATTTAAATAAATTTGTGAAAGATTGAAAATATTTTTCTTATTAAAAAATGAGAAAAGAAACCATTATGATCAATTTGCTGGAAGCAATATTTTTTCATTCTAAGTATATTTTAATATAAATGGAGAGAAGAGGTTTTCGTATGTGCTTTTTATAGTGCACAAAAAAATGTTCATGAAAGTGTAGGCAGCTACAGAATGTAGAATGGAATAAGCAGAAAAAATGTCTAAAGCTTCGTAAGCGAAACTATGTGAAAGGCAATGAACAAACGTTTTCACCTTGATTGCAGTGATTACATTGGTATAAAATTTGATATTTTGAGTCGTTTTGATGCGTCGCAAATATATAGAATGTAACGAAATGATTACGACCAATGTATTTTTTCAGCAATACACTTTATTGGGCCTTGCAAAATATTATTTTTCAAATAAAGTCCTAAAGATGTCAAATCCGGAAAATCAAAAGCTAATTTCATGGGTCAGAACTCTCATGATTTTGGCGGGTTTTTGGAATCAACCCATTAGCAATAACCAGATAATCACCAAGATGTTTTACGTTTATTCAGTTATTATGAGGTTATCCTGCATCTTGTTTTGGCTCTCCTTAGTCGCTGAATTAGCACGACTAATTATTTACCAATATGAATTGTCGATTATTGTTACAAGCTTGTCCGTGGTTGTGACCGATTCGAAAATTATGATAAAAATGATACTTTATTTAAAAAACAACACATTGAACTTATTAGAGGATATAATTGAGAAAGAGGGCGAAGTATGGGCCAGCAGATCTGAGGAAATCAAAGCGTTGTATCGCAGAAAAATTGCTTTTCTGAAAGTGGCCGTTTTTATAATGGGAACCAGCAATTTTTTAACAATAATTTGGCTGGAAATTTCAGGTGAGTGATAGCCATAAAACAGCACAGAATGAGATCAGAAGCTCAAAAAAAATGTTTAAATTTTTTTATAACACAATATCAGAATGTTTCTTTGAGTTCTTGCCAGTCTATAGACTTACACCTTCATGCGATACAATGAAATTATTCTGATAATTAAAAACTTTATATGAAATGTGTTTTTTGCCTTGTAGAATTCAAAAGCTAAATCGTGCATAACAACTTTAACTTCCATTTTATAAACTTCTCAATAGTTCATCCAATTAAGGACAATTAGTGGTCACGCAAATCCTATCGAGTAATCTGGTTTGGCCTACTTTAAAACTACTGAAAAAATAGAACTATAATAAAAACTTTGTTTTAGGAGTTTTTACGGTAATTCAACATAAAGAACACAATGCAATCTTCAATGACTCCATTGAATCTCACGTGATGTATCAAACGATTTTTCCATTAGATAGAACAAACCATGTGTATTGGCTGCTTACAACCCAAGTTCTATGGGCCTGGGTTGGACTAATTTTCAATTTAGTTACACAACTCATTTTTGTTACCATATTATTATATGCTGCGTCCCAACTGGAAATTATGCAGGTCCGTTTTAGGAATTTAATAGAACAGGATTTCGATATTATGGCTGGCGAAGAAAAAGTTGCCGAAAAGGTTAAAGAATTGAAAGGGCTGATACATGATCTTCAATATGTTGTCACGTGAGTGCAAAATCTGGCAGAAAAATAGTGAAGTTCTTTATTTAAACATCTTTATTTATAAAGCCATAGTGTGCGACAGACAGATCAGTTATAAGTATGATATGAATAAGGCAATTGAGTTATCAGTTTTAAACTTTGCAGGTTTATCAAAAACTTCAACAAATCTACAAAATATATTACAATGATGGAATTTATTTTCAGCTCACTGGATATGGCAACAGTTTCTGTTAGTCTTATGAAGGTGGGAACCAAACGTTGAACCATTTTTTGTTTCGTTTTTTCTCTATAGTTTCAGTTTTAACATATATTCTATTTCATATATTCTTAGACGTTCATAGAAAATAAGGAGAATTATTATTTTTAAGTTAATATGTTTATTTTTTTGGTAAAGCAACAAAATTTAGTAATTTTGATTTATTTCAGCAACAAGAATATAAGTCATTGTGGCTTCTTTTCTTTATTGTGTTGCTATTCACGCAGCTGTTTCTCATTGGTTGGACCTCAAATGAAATAAAAGTCCAGGCAAGTTTTCTTTTCCCCATATTTCCATTCCGTTCTAATTACTAGATATTTTTCTATTAATTTTAGAGTGAGGCAATTGGTGACGCTTTATACCAAAGTAAATGGTATGTGCTAAATAAAGATGGTAAGCAGATCATCTTAATTTCAATCGCCCGAGCTCGGATTCCTTTAATGATGACTATAGGCCCATTTGGACCCATGACAACTAATTCTATACTGTTGGTGGGTTGAATTTTTATCATGTGTTGCTCTTAGAACGCTGAAATCCTTAACCGAATAACAAGTATGGGAAAACAGCCAGTATTTAATAAATTTAAGTGCAAACTTATTTTAATTGAAGAAATGGATTTAACAAATTTGCACCAGAGCATCTCGAAAGATTGGACCAGGAATGTAAATCTTCCTTAAATTTACATACAAAAAACCAGACAAATAATATTTTGTAAATTAGAAAGTAAAGTCAACGTAGCAATAAAGCTTGCTGGACAACAGCAAACATTTTCCAAAAAAGTCGGATTTATTTGCACTCGCTTGTTCTCGATGTAAAAAATATGTCATATGCATCTATAAAGCGAAAAAATTTAACTTTCAGAAAGGCAAGCAAATGTGAGAAAAAAACCATGTCGTTAAATTCAAACGAGACAGTCTATAATCCGAAATATGTATTCGGTTCCGTACAAAAAATGGTACGATTTGTCCATAAAGTAACAAGTTTTACTTTTTCAACACACTTACTTTACACACAACACACAACAAACACCTTAGCAAATGAATGTTTCACAAAATTTAAGCCCAGGATTAACAAGTTAGACACACCTAATGTAATTTACAAAATAGACTGTTTAAATTGTATTAACACATACATAGGTCAAACTGGACAATATCTAAAGAAACGAATATACGAACATAAGTATAGCCTAAGAAAAAATAACGAAAATGGTACAGCATTAGCACAGCATGCACAACAGAAGTTGCATAATTTTGATTTTGATAACACAAAAATACTGATTAACGAGAGTAATTATAATAAGAGAAGAGTCCATGAAATGATACAGATTAAAAAACATAACAATGCTATGAATTTCAGATCGGATACCGACAATCTTAGCTCAGT